TTTCAATGTTTATCTACCTTGGTTTGATTCGTGGCCTCAATAACATTTAAAAATCTCAACAAGCCCCAGTACTGACAATAATTATTATGTGCTCACAAGTGAGAGGAAACTTCCTCAGTTCCAGTAAGAAGCCGTGGCACACTTTCACATTAGGCAATAGAAAATGCATACAAAATATTGCGGGCTATTTGAATTTAAATATATAAACCATTGGGTCATTGCTCAGAGGTTAGACGTTCGAATGCGAGACCTCAAGTCTTATATTCGACCCCCTGTTTAGTGTCAGGAATGAGAAATAATGTTTCATTTTAGGATGAGATAGTTTTAAACTGTTTTAGATCTAGAATTTAATATTATGCATTTTAGTAAAGGTTTTCATCACGAACTGACATTAGCGATGATGCCAAAATGTTATTTGACTGTGTGGATAAATGAACTTTGCGCACAAATCTAAGACGCAGTATCCTGAATTTCAAAGGTTCATTCATGAATTATACTTTCGCCGATGATTACTATGATTAGATTCTCTTTATCGTAATTCCTACATAAGCTTATTTCAGCTCCTGAACAGACATTATTTTATTGATTGTTTTGTTCAGTTGACCTTTCATCACTATCCGTATACTATTGTAATGTGTGTGTGTGTGATCCATTCAAGTGTATATGTCTACTTATTTGTATTTTGTACATTCCTTCTGTTAGCTGAGTCTCGTTTAATGTTCTCTAAATTCTAAGTATAGGGTTCATTCATGAACCGATTTAAGTTAGACCATTGTTGAAAACCAGAAAGTCATTGACGGTCGTTTCTTCACAGTATGGGACTGCTCAGTGATGCATATCCACGACACCGCTCGTACAGATTGAACTAGAACTTTCAGTCTCCAAATTATATGCTCCTGAATCAAGTAATTTACTCAAATTCTCATCGTTTATCTACTGTCCGTATATATGTTGAAAATAAACACGTACTTTAAACACTATTAGTATTCGAATTTTCGTCTCCCCCTGTTATTAACTAGAATAGTCAACAGAGTATGCATAAAGTAAATAGGATCTATAGTTCATTTATCATCATCAATAGGATCAAAACATGCCGTTATAAAATGATAGTTCTGATGCACCCGATCTCATACATGCACGGTATAGATCCTAAATAAACGGTACCAAACTGTTTGAAGGTTTTCTCCTGTACATAACATGACAGAATTGATTTTCCATTACATTCAGTTAACCAACTGATTAGTAAATCTCTCTTTTAACATTTAATCAATATTGACATTTAGAGCGTATCAAATGCTTAACGTGATTGTAAAATAAAACAAAACCATAATGTACATCACAGACCGACAACAGTTAGATAACTAGGAACTAATGGATAACTGTTCCGTTCTAGTATAGGACTTCAATTTCAAATGAAGAACAGCACAATAAGGTATACTGTTGGGGACGTTAGATCCCCAGAACTTAATTTGTCATTTTATTTAGAAAATTTTGAATTTCTTTGTTTTCGCGCCAAAGGCGCTCTTGCCAACTTCATGTCGTATTTCCCAATGGGAAATATCTTAAATGCTGTTGGTCCGTTGCATCTTTTAGTATACTCTTTGGTAACTCTCCCCAAGGACGGTTTTGCACTGTATATATTCGTTTTTAATTATATTTGTTGTTATCGCTCGTTTCTGGTTGATTTGCAGAATATACTTCCCATTCGTAGCTTGGACTTCTCCCTCTAGTTAGCGGAGCTGGGACGCATTAAATAGCTAGCTTACTGATCTTGGTCACCGAGTCTTGTTCTCGTTCGCAGATTAAGTGAACTTGTGTTAGCTTCAAACCTAGCATATGCCTAAAAGATATCTTATGAATTCGACTGTTAAAAATAATACAATTTCCACGAATCCCCATTCTCACAATAATCAGGTACTCACTAGTGACTAACTTCAAGATGGATTTACTAGAGTTCTAGAGAGAAGATGTGACTAGTGGAACCTAATCCGTGTCGAATGTGAGAGAGTTATCCACCTCAGGTAATAGATGAAGAGTTGTGCAAGATCATGGATTGATTGAAATTAAACATTAACAACGTCGGGTTCCGGGTCACTCATCTAGAGGTTAAGCGTTCGCTCGCATCACTTTAGGCCTTGGTTTCGAGTCCCTCATGCGGGATCATAAATACTCACTAATGAGGAGTCCTATCCTATGGGTCAGTGTTAGACCGCCATGGAAAACCTGGAAGCACTAAACGACCGTTTCGTCCCAGTGTGAGACTACTCAGACTACTTACCAATAGTCAATAGATTCCTGTTTAGCACTTTAATTTCAACTTTCTAACCGTTTTTACTACTATAAACATGAATCCAATCTCTTGTCAATGACATACTTATCAATTAAATGTTATATTTAAAAGTACTCATGAAGAGGATAATTATGAAAGAACGAAATAAATAGCATTAAATGAAACAATTCAAACATAGCAACAACAACAAAAAATTGATTACATGAACAAGTGACAAAGCATTTCTTGAACATTGAATCTGTGAATAACTTATTTAAACAAAATTAATTATGTTTAATGAATTTTGTTTTATTTTAATGAAGATTTATATGATTCATATCTATTGCCAATCAGCACCAAGTAATGCTAATAGAAGTCGTCTATAATCACCAGATGTTTCACTACGTATCCAATCTTCAAGTGAACTACCTTGATCATTTTGAAATTGTACACAAATACTTCCTAAATCAAACTAAATTAGACAAAGAAAGAAACAAACAAACAAACAAACAAACAAATGTACTAGAAACAAGAGTTGATTAAAGATATAAAACTCAAAGCTCTTTAGTTATATATAACTGTTTGACCTTACGACTGTAATCCTATTGGCTAAATATGACAAGTAGATTTGACCAATCAGCGTGAAGTTAAATAAATTCAAGGTTGACTCAAAGAATGTTTATTTCAATAGTTGAAACCATGAGTCAATTAAAGCTAGATCATCATGGAAAACCTGAAAGCACTGGATGGCCGTTTCGTCCCAGTATGGGACTTCTCAGCAGTGCGCATCCACGATTCAATAGTTGAACTATTTCTGTAGTTCAACTATTGAAATTTCTGAAATCTTCACGAAATTTTTCTGAAAATGTTTATTTATCTGTGTGTATCTATATAAACAATTAGTTTTGTGTATAATTATTCCTTATTCGTTCATTAACAACAATTTGTATTGTAATAAGCTTGAAGAAGTTTTATCATGTTCAGATCATTATAAGCTATTTATTCTAAATAGATAATCAAGTATAGGATAGGAGCAATTAACTTACAATTAAATGAACTATTCAAAACATAAATTACAATAATGTTCGGATTGATTTTAAGACTCAAGTTACGTAATTCGACTTGGTTATTGAAAGCTTCTGTCGTCTAAGAAACTTGTAAGCATGCCCTTGTACAGCTGAGAGTGGGGAGAGTCAAATATCCCTCTCAAAATGCTCTCAAGTGATCACGTGTATACGACCACTGACAGTGAAGTCCTACTCACTGCATTCTCAAAGCATTACTGTTGTTTACGAAATTGAGAGGATGAAAAGTGAATGTCTGGCGCTTTAACCGGGTTCGGTGGATATGGAGAGTTCACCTAGGGAGTTGGAAAACCCTCATTCCAATCCAGTGGTGAACATAGGCTCCAGCATCCTGAAGGAACAAATGGAGTACGAACCAATTGTTGGTTACCGGCTACTATGGAACTGCATCTCCTTACGATGCTCCACTGCTTTGTGGATCAGACCTTTAGGTCAAAGGCTCCGGGTGTGGTCCACTAAGAAAACCACCTGTTTCTGTTCGGGCAAACGAGCAGTATCCCAGCTCACACATAAATCAAGTGACTTGTGTGGCGCATATCTATTTGGTGCTTCCTTATACAAATGTTTGTGTTTAAATAAATGAATAAATAAATAAGGAAGTAACACAGAGCAGGCAGATTCGTCTGAATGATTAGATTTTAAAGATTGATTGGGTTCTTCTTGTCCGTTTGGCCAATATTATATTCTTTAGAAACCTTTGAAGTACGCTTACCTTTTTATTTGAAGTGTATACATCGATTTTTTGAAGAGTTCAATACATATCACTTTATCACATGGATAGACATCGAATATGGTTCAACCGTGTATTCAATGGTGTTTTGTTGTATGATCTAAATATCAGTCAGTCAGTCAGCTACAACGTAGGACCAGGCACATATATGCATCGGTCCAGGTTGCCATACCGCACTAGCACAGCAAGATAGACACCGGATTCATAGGAGTGGTCAGGTCAAAGGTGGTAATATATAGGAGAAAGATCTAAATATAGTGTTTCTACGGCTTATGTTGTCACTTTAAATAAGATTCTTAGCAAATACGTCTGACAAAATTGAACGTTTTAAATTTGTCCCGCAAATCCTGTATGAATTACTTTAGATTATTTTGTTTGTGAATGATAATCTTGCCGACTTTCTTTATCGCCTTACATCTTTACTCTTGTACTAAATCTCATTAGAAAATGGTATTACCCCTACAATGATACGATACGATAAAATGAATCTCTATCGACATGTCTATTGACTATCAGTCAGTCAGTCAGTCAGTCAGTAACAACGTAGAACTTCGTACTTACGTACATCAGTTCGAGTTGTCACACCACCTTAACACAGAGATGCAGTTGTCGATTCAAATCCCGTAGTGGTAGAGGTAGCAAGAGTATAAGCAGTAATCGGGAAGATTAGGGTTTGGAGATGTTATTTAAAGAGTATTGACTATAGGTTGACCTAAATGTCCGGTTCTTAGGAATTTCCTTAAAGCTTTTTAGCTCTCTTGATTCATCTTTACAGTTGAATTCTATATCTTTAACAGTCTGTGAACAGTGGTGTGAGTAAAGACTCATTGTGTTGTTGACCTTTCAGTCTATGCTCGTTTGTGCATAGGTTATGTGGGAGTCTACTATGTTCAGTATAATTTTTCTTTTTTTTATTGAGATCATGAACCAATTGATGTTAGACCACCAGTGAAAACTTGGAAGTACTGGACGGCCGTTTCGTTTTACTGTAGGACCCCTTAGCAGTGCGCATCCATGACTCCGCTGGCAGGATTCGAACCCAGGGCTTTTTCCTTGTAGTTCAACAACATGCTGTTATGGTGAGTCAATCAGAAGTAGCCAAGTGAGGTCATTCGATGGCAATGAGAGATAACCTGAAGGAAAACTGAATGTTACTGGCTAAGAAATAGATCGATTTTCTGATGGGTAGAGTTGTATATATACATATATGAGTATTTGTGCATTTTATTTGGTAGCCAAATATACTTTTCCGCTCACACTTGTGTTCTCAATCAACTAGTCAGTTGAGGGAGTTAGCACAGAGCACATAGTATACCGGTTACAGATTCGAACTTTGTCCATCACAACACATACAAGGTTATATTTAATCCATTACTTTTAATACTTACCTCACTTCTTGTCACAATAATACGCATTAGTGTACAATCATCGGTACCGGCACCTTTCATTGCTTTCAACAATAAATCAGAATAAGCTTTTGGACGATTTAAACAAGTATTTACTATATATTCAAAAGAAATATTAAAGACGTAAATGAACAATTGACAAAGACAATAATAAAAGTATGATTGAAAGCCAGTCAGCTCGGAACAAATAATGAACGATCTTTATTGTATATATGATCTACTTATTCAATAGCAGATACTCAACCATCGATCAATCTATCACGTATGTATCACCTTACTAGTGTAATGAACGACAATACAGAGAGGTGGGGGAGCGAGGAAACCAATTTACAGTGTAATACAAAACTACAGAATATTTTGGTCAAATATGAGAACTATACACTAAATACTTTATTTGCAAATCTTCCCTCAATCGTCCGTCACATTCTCTTTGATTATTCCATTTTACAATCCCTCTCTATTTCCCTATTCTGTGTTTCTTTAATTCAATCATCTTAGAGTTCTGATGTCAGGTTTTCTATTTCCGATTGGTGTTACATACTACTTATATCTGTCAACATTAATGGATAAGCATGTCTCAATTCAATCATTAAGTTAATACTTGACGATATGAATTCTTTAACGTTAGTTAAGTAGGTGATTTAGTATAATTCAATATCTTGAAGAGCCTTGAACCATTGTCTAATTTCTCTTGGTTTCAATGATCCCTAGAATACAGAGAGAGTGAGTGGAGAGATTTGTCCCATTTGAAATGTTCTTCTATGGTTACAAGTTTATAGTCGCTAGCAGGAACCTCTACTCACTTCTTTTATGTAGCAGAGGTATTTGGTTGATCATGTGAGGGTTTATCTAAAAGAAGTTGGGCTATCCATAGTTCGCACAAATAGGCTCCAGGATACAGGTGAACGAATGGCATAGGAATAAAGTTTCGTTACTGGTTATCTTTGAAGTGAATCTCCTGAAGTGATCAAACAATTTTGTGAATTAAACCTCAATGCTAAATGATGACAAGAATGATTCGCTAAAAAAATCACCTATTTCAACCTGGGTGTTTTATGGACAGTATAAATTGTTAACTGGATATGAAAACTGCTCTTTGAGGTGATTAAAGCAGAAGACTCATGGTTTTAACTGCTTGACACTATCCATCTTTGTTTATAAACGTTGTGATGTAGGGCAATATCGAGGCAGTCGGCAAGGATACACATATACCAACCAGAGACTGATCAATTAAACTCCTGCATAACAGTGGGAAGATACAAGTAAACAATACCAAGTGAATTTAAACTTCACCACATTGTACAAACAAATGGCTACCTGAACTCATTATGTAAGTGGATAACACGATAGTGTTTGAATCGAACACTGATGGATTCGAGTCTCAGGATGAACATCAACTCTGAGATGGAGGCACACTCAGTCGACGAGTCTCAAATGGAACGAAACATGAGTCCTGGATTACACTATCAGCCACTATCCATCTCTGCTCATAATGCTTGTGAATTAAGGTAATATCGAGGTAATTCGCACAAAATGCAAATATGCTAATAAGAGACTAATAAACAATTAGACTTAAACATCAATGAGAAGATTTAAACAACCAATACAACGATAAATTCAACTTCAAATCACTATATAAGCTAGTGGCTATCTAGATTCATTAGCTAAGTGGATAACATGATGGTATTTGGAAAGTAAGGTACTGGATTCAAGTCCTGAAGTAAACGCAAACTATAGGATTCAAATATATCCAATCGATGAGTTTCAAATAGGATGAAACGCACATCTTGGATTCCACTGTTAGCCATCATCATCTCTCTGTTTGTTATGAATTACTGTTACACATTAATGGATTGGATAGATTCATTGAAATAAACACTGGATATTACAATGATTATCTTACAGGTTAATAAAAGAGCACTTTCAAAATCTCCAGATGTTTCAGACGCTAATGAATCGACCAATGTTTTATCATATTTCTATGAATAAAATGAAAAAGCGAAATATTAACTGAATATTATTAAAGACAAAATAGATCCAGGTTTTCAATGGTGGTCTAGTTTCAATTGACTCATGATCTCAACTGTTGAAATCACTACAATCTCCACAAAACCCCTTCTGATACTAATCAACATATGCTCACTATTGGCTGGCTTCAAGAGATACATCCTGGAGTTCTAGTGAGAAGCAGTGACCAGTGGATTTCAACCGGGTCAGTTGTGAGATAGTAACTCACTGATGACAATGGTGGATGTGTCGCTCAATTTTATGGATAAGTTGAAGTTAGACATTAACACCGTTCGATGACGACCAGCTCAGTGGTCTAATGGCTAAGCGCTCGCGCGCGAGACTGATAGGTCCTGGGTTCGAATCTCGCGAGGTAGGATCGTGGATGCACACTGCTGAGGAGTCCCACAGTCGGATGAAACGGTCATCCAGTGCTTCCATGTTTCCCATGGTGGTCTAGCTTCAATTCACTCATGATCTCAACTGTTGAGATCCTTATGAATTTGTAGCAGAACTTTTTTTTCAATATTCAATTAATATACAATAACTCTTCATCTACAAAACCTGATTTGGTTTCAGTAACCGGTCAGTATTCAAACCCATTACACAAATTGAATGATCTATGTAACACATATGTATTTTAATAGTTGAATTCATGAGTTCATTGAAGCTAGAACATTATGGAAAACCTAAAAGCATTGGACGGTCGTTTTGTACTATGATAATACAGTTAGTAGATAACAGTCAATCAAATTCCAAGGCAAAAAAAACAGGCTATTAGTCAATTCTGATGATGTCGTCCAGAAGAACGATGAAAGCTCCACGACCAAACCATCCAGCTCAGAGGACAAAACTCCACCAAAATCATCCACCTGAGCTACAAATCTTCTGCACAACCCTAACAGTTCATTTTTCTTTAAGATACATATTGATGACATTATTCAGAAAGCTTCACAGCTCAATGACAACATTACTTCCATTACCATATAAATACGGGTAATTAAACATTTGACGTAAGTGAATACATATATATGCAGAATGTTGCATAATGATAAGACAAACCTTTTCAAACAGACGAGCAACTTCTTGTAAATGCCAAACATTTCGACCGGTTACAATTCGAATGATAGCAGATTCATCAGTTCCTAGATGTCTACAGGAATCAATAAAAAACACAACTGATATTTAAGAAAATTCATTAATAGAGAATTTAATAATTTGCCTAAGAAGAAAAAGTGCTCTTATTATTACATTTTATAGTTAAATTAACTGACTAACACCTTTACTTTGACCATTCATACAATAAATAAACGTAATGAGATTTAACTTTTGGGGACGTTAGATCCCCAGAACTCACTTAAGAAAAGACCTAATTTTGTCTTTTTATTTAGAAAATTTGAATTTCTTTGTTTTCGCGCCAAAGGCGCTCTTATCATCTTCATGTCATATTTCCCACTGGGAAATATCTTAAATGCTGTTGGTCCGTTGCATCTTTTAGTATGCTAGTTGGTAACTCTCCCCAAGGACGGTTTTGCACTGTATATATACACGTTTTGAATTGTGTTTGTTGTTATCGCTCGTTTCTGGCTGATTTGCAGAATATACTTCCCATTCGTAGCTTGGACTTCTCCCTCTAGTTAGCGGAGCTGGACGCATCAAATAGCTAGGTTACTGTCTTGGTCACTGAGTCTTTGTTCTCGTTCGCAGATTAAGTGAACTTGTGCTAGCTTGAAATCTAACATTAACATGTTATCAAATTTCAGTTAGTGTACTAAAAGGTTGTGTAAGTAGTTGGAAGCACCTATTCAACTATAGGATGAAGTCATATTCAGCTGACGAGTTTCAAATAGGACGAAATGTGTATCCTGCTAGCCACTATAAAGAAAAATTTCCTAAGTTCTAGTGATACATCTTCATTCTTTTGATAAATTGATTGGGACTTATCACCGAGATATTCCCTATCTATCAGGTAAGCAAGGATGGTTGTGATATTTAAGCGTTTGCTTGTGAAACGGAATATCCTCGACTTGATTCTCAGTTAGGATGTTGTAGATAGACACTGATGAGGAGTCCCATGTTAGGGAGAAGTGGACATTCAAACTCTTTAGATTTCCAATATTTATTCAGGTAACAAATGTTTGTGATCCCGATGAAACCTACATCTAAGTTGACGTCTTAAATTCATCCATTATTCCTAATATTTTTGATACTTCGGATCCATTGGCCAGACAATATCGGCAACAACCTACTGTGTGAGAGAACAAACCAGATTCCGATGGAGGCAAAAGTCATGAAGAAATGTTGAAAGTGGATAGAATACACATTGAGGAAATCACCCAACTGCGTCACAAGGCATGTCCTCACTTTGAATTCTCAAAGCCAAAGGGAAAGAGGAAGACCAAAAGACACGTTACGCCGAGAAATGGACACAGACATGAGAAGAATGAACAACAATTGGATAGAACTAGAAAAAAAAGCCCAGAACAGAGTGGGTTTGAGAATGCTGATCGGTGACCAATGCTCCACTGGTAGTAACAGGCGTTAGTAAGTAAGAGTGGAATGTGATATAGTAATCCAAACGGAAACCTATAAATTATTGATACCTCAAGAACTTTATGCCTAAATAAACCCTATGATATTGGTGGATCGAAATTAATCTATGACTGAGAACAATTAACATTTACAGCAATATCAATCATTATATACATTTCCATGTAATTGAAAACTACATCTATAACATAGTGAATAGGTCTGTACTGATTGGTTCAATGAGAAATGGTTAACCAATAAGATTATTTCAAGTAATCCGTTAATTAAAATGTTGATTTACATTTCAATCATTTCTTTGATTAAGAATCAACTATCACAAATGAAAACAAACTTTTTATTGATTGAGATCATGAATAGATCAATGTAAGATCGCTATTACAAAACCTGGAAGCACTGAACGTGAATGTCTACTACTGAGGAATCCTATACTGAGACGAAACATTCGTTCAATGCTTCCAGGTTCTCTCAATGATGGTCTAACATTGATCCATTCATGATCTTAATCAATTTTAAAGAAATAACTACTTACGCTTCACCAGCATCCCATAATGTTTCAACATCTTGTTCAACTTGATTTATATTTACTACACTTTTTAATCCTTTTGTACTAATTTTTTCAACATCTTCATATGAAATTTCATCACGACTAGCTTGAAGTAATGCAACGACTAGATGTTGAAAATGTCCACTTAAATCATTTTGAACATCACTTTCTAAAGTTCTTCTAGGATCTATTTTAAAAAGTATAATTTCATTTTTATTATTGAAATAGTCATCAGAATATTGTTATAACAACAATACATAATATAAGAAAGGAGTTTTGTGGAGATTGTAGTAATTCTAATAGTTGAGATTATGAGTCAGTTGAAGTTAGACAATCATGGAAAACTTGGAAGCGCTGCTGAGAAGTCCCGTAATAGGAAGAAACGGCTGTCCAGTGCTTCAAGGTTTTCCATGATGGTCTAGCTTCAATTGACTCATGATCTCAACTATTGAAAATACATAGTATAATTATATTGAAACGAATATCAATGTCTATTAATCTTCACAACAGACTAGGTTAATCAGTAATTTAACTAGATCCTTAATGAGAGCTTAAAAGCACTGGACTACAGTTTCATCCCAGGATAGGATCTTTGAAGCAGTGAGCATTCAATATCCCGTACGTGGCAATCAAAGGCAGGACTCTTGGTCTCATGTGAACACTTAACCTCGAGACCACTGGGCCGGTATCCAAGGGTATTTATATATAACTTCAACTTATTCACGATACTGAGCAACCCTTATCAATACCCTGCTGTAAATAACTCCTAGTCAAAACAGACCTTGATGTGGTTACTGATGAGAACCTTAAAATTATGAAACATCAACTAATAAATCAGCATGAAAATTTGAGCTTTATAAATGAGTTTTAAATAAGAACCCTGAACCAGACGTTATCTAAAAACATAGGTTTACTTCAGGGAACAAAATAGACAGTTAAGGCTCATCAACTCTGAGTTGACAGGTGCCTGGATATCAGTCGTAGCATCAAGAGCACAATGAAAAGAGGAAGATTTCTTTCAAGCCACATAATTCATAAAGCCTAACACTGTAACTAGTGAATAACTGACCAAATATGTTCCTTTTATAGGTTTTGATCGAACAATTAGATCATCTTCTGTTCGTTTTTCTATTAGGACTAAATATGTGTCAAACTACTTACTATTATTCAGTAACATATCCATAAAACAGAAAAACTAAGATAATAATGAGTTTGAATTTGTAGGCTGTATTCTTCGCGAATTGACTTCAGTACAAGTACCATTGATAAATAGGTAAGATTGTACATTTGCTTCTTACTAGCGTAAGACTACTCAGTAGTAAATACCAATGAAGTTCAGGTAATACTCTGTGTATTCAAATGGTCTATCACTTAGCTGTTATTTTTTTTAAATATATACATCTAATTCCAATGGTTGAGGTCTTGAGTCAATTGAAGCTAGACCATCATGATAAACCTGAAAGCACTGATCGGTCGTTTCTAACCTCACTTGGTGTTGTTTGCTTGTATCTTCCCATTGTTGTTTAGGACTACAATTGGTCAGTCTCTTGTGAGCATATACTTTTAACTTCCATCAATTCGTTACATTGAGCGATTATTTTCTAGCGTCATTAACGAGCATTGTTTTACTCACAGAATGGGCAACGTCCACCTGTTATGAGTTCCCTCTCGAGCTTCAGGAAATGATTTTGTACATGTTTTTATCACTATTAGTTATTATTATCATTAGTTCTTAACAAGCAGTTTTAACGCATTTTAATCGGCCTTATAGCAACTATGTATATATATACTCAAGGTTGTAATCACGAACTGGTTTGCGCTCAGAAATAGTGAGTTTGAGCCTTAATGAGATATTGTAGATAGTCACATATTAAAGCGTACTGCCGAGGAGTCCCATACTAAGACAAATCCGAGGTCCAGTGTTTCCAGGTTTCCAATGGTGGTCTAGCTTACATCAACTCGTGAATTCAACTGTTAAAAATACTACAATCTTCACAAATCCCCATTCTCATAATTTTCATGTGCTCACTAGTGACTAAATTCGAGATGGATATACTGGAGTTATAGTAAGAAGCCGTGATCAGTCGAGTCCAATCCGTGTAGGGTGTGAGAGAGTCATTCATCACAGACAATGGATGAAGGGATGTGCAAGTTCATTAATCGATTGAAGTTAGATATTAATAACATTAGATGCCGGTTCAGCGATCTAAATGTTAAGCGTTCACGCGGTATCGTGGATGCGCACCGTTGAAGAGTCTCATCAGTGCTCCACTGGTGGTTTAGCTTAGATAGACTCTTAATTTCAACTATGAAAATACATATTCAAGAAAAAGAACTGTGCAGTGTTACATAGTTATCAACTGTTGTTAAGACTACTACTAATCAGTGTTATCATTGACATGGATACTTAACCTTTTCTAATTAATTGATTATTGACAATGGAAACATTCAGTGTGATGTTAATGATACAATTTGACTTACCGCTGATTCCATAATCCTTTAGAACTGAAAAAAATCAAATGTAAAAAAAGTCACTCAAGATATACGTTTTATCTCATTTTTAGAATTTATCAGTTAAGTGTGTGCCCATCCAATTGTTGTCTTTCTGATACGTCTTGCTAATTAAACGCTAGATTCTGTTCCCAGACTCTTCTAGTAACCGTCAGTTTAAATCTACATTTACATGCATGAATATATAACACGTTTTCTAATTGCATACGTAGATTTGGTTTCCTAAGTTCTTCTAGTAACCCCCTCCCGTATGTTAAATCTACCCAGAAACGTGAACACAAGAGAAAAGGTGGGAAATAAGGAAGAAAATACTTGACTCCAAAGGTTCGTTTATGTACAGAAAATCTGATGTTTTTTTTAGTATTATAGATGTCTTTAGGTTTCCCGAAAATTCTGGAATGCTACTAAACATAGTAGCAGTATAAGTAAACACGCAATCAAAAAACTTGATACGTGACTTTTCACTTCCCAGATGTTTCTGACAAAACTTCTAGTGAACACTGATTGAATAAGATTCTTCTCAGTGTTTTCAGAATCCTTTCCAGGATATTTTTTCGTGTTTTCTGGATCTCCTCAACACTTTCATTGATCATCTAATTTAATATTCATTGCTTAAAATACCGGACTATGGAATGTAGATAATACTCTCAATTCAAGAAGACTTTTAAACTGACGAATTGATCAATCTAATGTTGAATATATCAACAAACAGAAGAATTCCTAGCCATATATTAATAACAATCGTTGTACTCCAGCTATATATGGACGTCAGAGTTTATCAAAGAAAAAAAACGTCACTGGATGTCAAGAAAGTCTAAATAATCTTGGTCTAATAAAAAACAATATTCGAACTTCAACATTGAACAATTAGAACATATAAAGAGTTATTACTATGATTTGTAGTCATTGAGTTTGGTAATGATAAGTAAACTCTCAGTACACGACTCCGACTGACTGCTTAAGTGAAAAGACTGAGAGTGAGAAGTACATATATATATATATATCAGAAGGGGTTTTGTGGAATTCAACCGGGTCTGTTGTGAGATAGTAACTCACTGAAGACAATGGTGGATGTGTCATTCAATTTCGTGGATTAGTTGAAGTTTGATATTAACACTGGTCGATACCAACCAGCTCAGTGATCTAATGGCTTGGCGCTCGCGCACGAGACTGATAGGTCCTGGGTTCGAATCTCGCTAGGCGGGATCGTGGATGCACACTGCTGAGGAGTCCCACAGTATGATGAAACGGTCATCCAGTGCTTTCAGGTTTTCCATGGTGGTCTAGCTTCAATGGACTCATGATCTCAGTTATTAATATATATATCCCTCAACAACTAATCCATCAATGATGCATGTCTCATTTGTTAGACATGAGAGTTATTTCTTGGCCAATCATATGCGTTTATCATTTAGTGATTAATGATTGATCCAATGTATCCAATTATCATTCTAAGACAAATCGCTGTTGTTTCAAATACTTTATTTTGGTCATGTAACTTCCAACTCTAATGCACTATATGATATTAGGAAATTATTGAAAAGATTTTGAGATGATGAAGAAGACTTGTAACTCAAGTGGATGATTTTGATGAAGTTTTGTTCTCGGAGATGGATGGTAGAAGTTCTATCAGAAGTTTGTGTTGATGAGATAGTTCAAAATAACGATGAAAGCTCCATGACCAAACTATCCAGGTGAGAGAACAAAACTCTATCAATTGAAAAGATTCCAGTTGGTATTAAGCCTAAAACAGTGACAAGACATCCAAAGAGTCTAAATTTTAATAACTCTCAAGTATGCTTAGAAGAATGGAAAACAAGTTAAGAATATTGTATTATCAAGATGTAAGATTAATGTACTTCAAAAGGGATTTCCTAGCCACTTGCTAATAACCATTGGCTAAATCTACATGAAAATTTGAACACAAAAGATATGATTCTGCATTTCTTATATATTTCTGCTAAGATTCTATTCAACGTTAACTGGATAAAACATTCCTTGACATTTCTAGGCATTTAAAGATTTTGATGAGAGATACAATTGAGAATACTTCAACAAAACCTTTATAATTGAGATCATGAACTAATTGATATTAGACTACCATTCGAAACTTAGAAGTTATGGATGGCCGTTCCATCCAATTGTGGCACTCTTCAACAATGCACATCCACGATCCTGCCTCACTAGATTCGAACCCAGAACTTATCGGTCTTGCATGCGAACACTGAACCTCTAGACTACTGAGCCAGTTGGTATCCAACAGTTTTTATGTCAAACGTCAACGTTATTATAATACATTTTTTTTTACTATCTTAATTAAACAGACTACTTAAATCTACTTACCATATTGATATGCTTGTTTAATATTTTCAATTTCCGTATTAGTTGATGTACATAAAACTTCAATAATTGTTTCTTCATCAGTACCTGCACCATTAATTGCTTTATATAATGCACGTGCATTCACTATATCTATATCACTTAATAACATTTTAAGTAGTTTTTTAAAATGACCGCTTGTTTCACTAGATAATTCATCTATTAAATCCTATTTTAAAACAAACAAAAAAATTGAAAAATATAATTATTAAATGTTTTATATAAACAATTGAAACATTGAATTATTTTTTGTTAAAACGATAAGAAGCGCGAAACTATAATTTATGAAAGAACCAATCAGATTTAAGATAACAAGTGTTGGATTTTGGCGCGTAATTCATTCGGTTCAATGCATTTTGGTAATATAGTTAATGTCAATTCATGATGTAAATCCCTTCAAAAATCTAATTCCTAAACTTAACCATCACTGTAAATCATAATTCTAGTTTCTCATTGTTAAGTGATGATAAATATAATGAATGGTAATTTGGGGATCCTTTTATGACCAATACTAAACGTATATTTTTATTGTATAATTGTTAAATAACTAAACTATTCATATTGCAGAGGCTGAGATTGGTGTTCTGAACTTAACTGGCTGGGCTAGGCAGGAAGCAGAACCAATCAGAAGTCTAGGCTGATCGCACGTTGGTCGGATCGATAATCCACTGCTCTCCAATCGGAGATCACAAGTTATAACACTCATACTGGTTTATAACCCTCATTTGATCCTATTTACTAGGCGAACATTCTAAAGGTCACTTAATTATAGTCTCACTACAAGAAGAGATTAGTTTTGTAAAGATTATAGTATTTTCATAATTGAATTGACAAGTCAATTTAAAGTAAGATCATCAATGAACACTTGGAAGTACTGGAGTTTCATATTAGAACGAAAAGGTCGTTCAGTGATGTCAAGTTTTCAGTATTGATGTAACTTAAATCGACTTTTGAATTGAACTATGAAAATGCCTATAAGTTGCTTTTATAGTTGAGATAAATTTCTACGCTATAATAGAATTGAATGGATTCGTTAAGAGACCCTTATACTAAGTTTCGTTTTTTTTTTATTAAAGTTGAATAATGGTCAGTATTGAGATGCAGGACGTGGGTTTCGCGGGACTTGAACTCAGGACCTTCTGTGGCGCGTGCAAATGCTTAAATCTTTAGACCACTAAACGTCAATCGATCCATGATCTTGAGCAACTCTTCATTCATTGCCTCAGATGGATAACTGTCTCACACTCGATACGGATCGGAATCTACTGTTCAAGGAGTGCGGGATTGTCGATGAGCACTGTTGAAGAATCCCATACTAGGATGAAACGGCCGTCCAGTGCTTCCAGGTTTTCCATAGTGGTCTAGCTTCAATCGACTCATGATCTCAACCATTAAAATCACTATAATATCTACAAAAACCCCTTCTACTTTTGATCATCCTACCTCTATATATGATCATTTACTTTGTTGTTATTTATTAGCTTCTTGTAATTGGTTTCAAGTCTTACTTGAACTATGAATCAACTAGTGAATACTATCATGTTGAACAAATTTCAGTTGATCAAGAATTTTTCAAACATACAATCACAATTTGATATCGGAATTAAGACCTAAATCACCACTGAGTACTTGAAAGCACTAAACAATCGTTTCATCTTAGTATGAAACTGCTCAAGATTACGCATTCACAATCCTTTATCTGGGAATCAATCTCAGGACTTTCGGTCTTATTACATAGACCACTGGCCAGGTATCCAACGGTATCTAATATTGCCAGGTTTTCAATCGTGGTGTTTCATTAAGATCAGTTCATGATATAAAAGCCATAAATTCTATAATCTTTACAAACTCTATAAAGTGATACAATCTATTTGTTGGAGTTCGAACTCTATCATCAATTACTTCTTAATTTATCTGTAGTAATATACGATGTTTACATAATACAAATCCTTAGGACTCAGCACACACAAAGGAAAAACCAAGATCCTCAAATACAACACACAAAAAAACACCAACCCATTCACACATGATGGAGAAACTCTGGAAAATATGGAAACGTTCACATATCTAGGAAGCATCATCAATGAACAAGGGAGATCTGATGCAGATGTGAATGCAAGAGTTGACAAAGCAAGGACAGCATTCCTACAATTGAAGAACATATGGAACTCAAAACAACTTTCAACCAATATCAAAGTCACAATCTTTAATACAAACGTCAAGACAGTTTTACTGCACGGAGCTGAAACTCCGAGAACTACTACAACCATCACCAGCAAAGTACAAGTATTTACAAATAGTTGTCTACACATGATACTCAACATCCATTGGCTGGATACCATCAGCAACAGCCTTCTGTTGGAGAGAACAAACCAGCTTCTAGCTGAAGAGGAAAGTAGGAAAAGACGTTGAAAGTGGATAGGGCATACAACACAGAAATCACCGAACTGAATCACAAGGTAAGCCCTAACTTAGAATCTTGAAGGAAAGCGGAAAAGTCGAAGGTCAAATAGCTCATTACGTCGGGAAATAGAAGCAGAAATGAAAAAGATGAATGACAACTGGAAAGGATTGGGCAAGACAGAGTTGGATGGAGAGTGCTGGTGGCTGGACTATGCTCCTCCATGAGGAGTAACAGACGTAAGTAAGTAAGTAACATACAATTATGATTACTATCAATTTACCTTTCCATACATTGCTTTAAATGTTTCTCGTATTTGAATTCGTTGAATAGAATTACGATAACCCAAAACATTAATGATACGATGTTCATCAGTTCCTAATGAAAATACAGAAAGAAAAAAAGAGTGAACGAAAATGTTTTTTTTCAATTACTTTGCAAGTGAGTAGTTGTTGAAGCTTATTAGCTAAGTGGATAACTTAGTGGTATTTAAAACGAACGGTACTAGATTCAATTTCCAGAGTGAATATCAACTTTGGTATGCAGGTACATTCAACTGAGAAGTTTCAAATAACAATACACAAGCATCCTAGATTTCAAATGCTAGATCCATTCCATGTATTTTATATGCTTATGTGATAATAATAAAACACACCTTCTTCAAACAAAAAGACACTTAAATCTAGTACATTTCTACCTTCATTAATTGTAGTATTACGTATGAACGAAGGTTTTGCAATACTGTAAGTTGTAAACCAACGTAGATAAAGTCAACAGTATGAACGTCAAATACTTGCTAAATACCCTGGTGTTCAGTTCAATCGCTGGTTAGAACAAAAGATGAAAACTGCCTTTAAAAAATCCAATTCTATGACGAAATAGTTGTCAAATGCCTTCTGGTTTTTAATGGATATCTAACTTAGATCCGTCATGATAAAAAAAACTGCTCCCAAATGTACTGGAACGGCCGAGGGTGAGGAGAGTCAGCTCTCTTTCCGAAATACTCTCACATGGACATACGTATACAGCCACTGCCAGGGAATTCCTACTCACTGCCTCCTCGCAGCATTACTACTGTTTAAGAAATCGAGAGGACGGAAAGAGAATGTTCGGCGTTGTAATTGGGTTGGTGGATATGGAGTATCCACATAGGGGAGTTGGAAAAGCATCATTCCAAACTAATGGTACACATGGACTCTAGTATCCTGAAGGAAAAAACGCGTCTGAACCAATCAGTGATTGCCGGCTACTATGGACTGCATCTTCTTACGCTGCTCCACTGTCTTGTGAATCAGACCTTTAAGTCGAAGGCTATGGGTGTGGCTCCCTAAAAAAAACCACCTACTTCAGTTTGACCTCCCTATCAGTGTCATAAGCCACACACAAACCAAGTGACTTGTGTAGTGCATATCTATTCGTTGCCCATTTTATACCAATACCTATGTGTTCAAGTAAATATTAATAAATAAATACAAAACCACAGATTCCGTAATCTCCACAGCCTTCTATATGAATATATATATGCCAATGATCAATACACCAACGTCAAACCTCCTAAACTGTTATTTTCTTATTTGTTTTCGGGTAATTATGTCATAAAAAAACACTGATGAAGTTTGTCTGGTTACTATGTTTACACTGTTTATGCATGATTATAAGCTTTTCATGGATAAATTATCTTATCTTGTAATTGAGATAGTCAATCACGCCCAATTAAAACTTATGAAAATGAATAATTAATGATAAAATAAAAACAGAATTTTCCATTTATACATAGTTATGATGAAAAGTAACGAAAGAAATTAGATAATTATATGACTATGATACAGACTACTTATATTGAAAGATATAAGTAGTATGTAGCCGCATTTCGAAATGTAAAACCTGTCAGAAGAAGATTAAATTGAAGAGATCGGTAAAGGGAAACAGTGAAGCAATGGAATAAAAACAGAATTCGAAGAATGAAGAAGTATGTATATGACAAAAAATGATGCAATATAAAACTGTTGTGATTTATGGCTCCTATCTATTATCATGTGATGAAGTCACCAATCAAAATACCGACTTATATTGATTCTGTCCCTCTACTAAACTAATAACACATCAACAAGAACTACTAACCCTGTATCTACTCTGAATCTTTATTGGTCCTCAGTATGATTGATTGTGAAACTTTGTATCGTTCTTCTGAACGACATCATCAGCACAAACTTCATGTAGAATCGAAATGTTCAGATTTCTACACATGTGGTTCACAGTTTGTCCTGTACACCTCGATATTAGATTAGTTCTTGTTGACCTTGAACCCGTCATTGTTTACTTCTTTGTTTTGGTTCATGTTTGTGTTTTTTGTGACCCAGGATCTGTCTTTATTTAGATCGTATGAATAATTGATGTCGAAATATACATATATATATATATATATCGCTAATTCTCGTATAGGATTATCGACTTAATCCGCGTTAGCGAATAACGGAATTAAATAAGCCAAATACGAGAATAGATTTTGAATATGTATATCTCATGGACACATCACTGATTTGAACAGGCAATCAAGGCGATGAAACAAAGATGGAAGAACGAAGCAGGTTGGCAAAGGTGTGTGAGCCAACTCCAAGAATGAATCAATATTTATAGTCACACAAAAATAAGTTACAGATATATAGTAAATAAGATAAGAAGGGCACACATATATGCGCTCACATAAATACAGTTAAGGTTGATTAGCCAATAATTAACATATACAAAATGTAGCTTGATTAGAATGGATAAACTAGCTTGTCCGTAAGCTAGAATAAACTATGTAGGTTTGACATAGTACCCACTCCTACAACTGGTAGATGATGTAATCACGGTTAAAATGAGTTAAATGAGATTATAAATTCAATCGTTTAATAACAATGTATATGCGAACTCATTCTACAAGTATAAGTCTATGCATGTTTCTTCTCAGTTCTTAAATCATTTTAACAATTGTGTGTTCCGGTTATTATCGAAATCATGTAATTTTAATATTACAGAATAACTAGCTTGTAGTGTGTAATAGAATCTAGGAGGTTTTTGATTGAGATCATGAACCGATTGGTGTTAGACTACCATTGAAAAACTGAAAGCACTGGACGGCCGTTTTGTCCTACTGTGGGACTTCACGACCCCGCTAGTGGGATTCGAACCCAGAACGTACAGCCTTGAGCGCGAACGCTTAACCGCTAGACCACTGAGCCAGCACCCAACTGTGTTACTATCTAACCTCAACTAATCCACGAATTTGTGCGACCATCTTCCATGGTACTGTACAATAAACAGCTTGGGTGCAGCTAGACGAAATGGACCTAGCTCTTCCATCTCATACACCAACAAATGCATGTAAAAACAGACAATGTAACAGCAGCCACTGAAATAGTAGGCCTCAGCATACACATAGGAAAAACCAAAATCCTCAAATACAACACAAAGAACACTAACGTATTCATACATGATGGATAAACTTTAAAACAGGTGGAAACCTCCATGTATCTAGGGTCATTCATCGATGAACAAAACAAGGACAGTATTCCTACAACTAAAGAACATATAGAATCCAGAAAAACTTTCAACCAACATCAAAATCAGAATCTTCAATACAAACGTCAAGACAGTCATACTATACGGGGCTGAAACTTCCAGAACTATCACAAACATCATAAAAAAGGTACAAGTATTTATAAACAATTGTCTATACAAGATACTTTATGTCTGTTGGCCGAATACCATAAGCAACAGTCTACTATGGGAAAGAACAAACCAACTTCTAACTAAAGAGGAAATCAGGAAAAGATGACATTGAGGAAATCATAGGATTGCATCACGAGGAAAGTGGAAACTTAGAATCCTGATAGGAAAAGGAAAGGATAAGATCAAGGAACATATTGTGTGGAGTATTCGAAGTAGACATGTAAAAGATGAATAGGAATTGGAAACAATTGAAAAGAATTACTCAAGACAGAGTTGATTAGAGAATGTTGATAGTTGGCTTATGCTCCTCCATGAGGGTTAACAAACGTATATAAGTAAGTATATCAACAATATTTCAACAATATACCGTTCCTTATTTCATTGTAGTCCAAGTTGTTGAATTCATTTTTTTTGACAAGTTACCTTAAGAACCGCAAGTATATGTTTTGTTCTAAAGCATTTCCATGAAATATAGAATAATACTGTTTGAACCATTTAGAAATGAAGATCAGGTAAATAAATAAATCAATATGGAGATTTTTGAAGACGGTAGAATTGTCACAATTGAAATTACCAGTCAATTTAAGTTAAACCATCACTGAAAATATGAAAGTTCTAGATGACCGTTTCTACCCAGTAATGAAACTCTTCAGAAATGTGCATCGAAACTAGGGACAAATAACTAGATACTATAGTAAAATTTATTAATTAATGTATTAAACTGATAACGTATGACCATATACAAATTAGTTTCTATGTGAATTTGATTTTGAATAACACAGTTATACTACTGGAGATCAATCTCTACCTGAATAACGTCTCATTCTCTAGAGCTGGATAACACAGGTAATTCGAATCACGGATGGAGCGTATAAGCTATATAACACAAAATCTAAGTTGATTAAAAACTTGCTGCCAGTCATCTATCATCTACGAATATCGACTCCTAGATAATAGGACGAAACGTGCGTCCTGGATTCCACTGCTAGCCACTATCCATCTTTGCATATAATGCTTGTGAATTAAGGTTATATCGAAGCGATACACGCAGTATGCACATATGCTAATAACACACTGATCAATAGCAGTCTTAAATCATAATGGGAAGATTCAAGCAAACAATAACATGTGAATTTAAACTTCACGCGATTGCACAAGCAAGTGGTTAGCAGGACTCAGTAGGTAAGTGAATAACGAGATAGCGTTTGAAGTGAATGATACTAGGTTCGAGTCTCAGAGTGAACATCAACTCTTTGAGATGCATGTACATCCAGCCAACGAGTCTCAAATAAGACTAAACGCGTGTCCTGGATTTCACTGTTAGCTACTATCCATCTTTGCATATAATGTAAGAAGTTAGTTTCTATGAAACTTAACCAATCGATCAAATCAAATCATATCTAATTGGACGTATAACAATCATTCTTATATTCTTAATGTGTTTTTACATTCATGAATGCACATGTAACTCATGTTCATTATTTCATGTATACTAAGTGTTTACTAAGAGAACTTGTAATGTAATCAACATATAATTGTGTACTTTGTTCTAATTAGTAATATACATATAATCGATCACATGTATTCCATAAAAAAACTTGAATTAGAAATCATGCACGTTCAATGTTCAAATTGTTTATTAAAACAAAAATGTACTTGGTATC